TGCGGGCTTTCAATGACATCCTCATTTTCAGATGGCGGGTCGCTTGCAAGAACCTCACTCCCGCTTCCAAGATTCTCACTCTCAACAGGCTTCGGGCGAAGCTGGTTGCGGCTTGCCCCAACACGTCCAGCCAAGAATGACACGTGTTGATCAGGAGTGTCTCGTAGAGCTCCCACAAGGCTCGGGTCATAAGCACATGTGGTTCTCCTCACAGATCTAGCAACAACAAGACGGCCTGAAGAAGTGCACACGAGGTGGCAGTCCGAAACATCGGATTTGCCCAACCACATGGCTCTGAGCCACCGTGGTTTGCCCTTGGTTGCTGTCTTTACGCGGGCTAGGACACACTCTGCAAAGCGGACTAGCTTTCCCCCATAAGGTGCTGCATGAACTCTCTCCCAAGGTGTCAAGTTCTGAGTCACGCCAAAGCGCTGCAGAATCCAACCTGCATGACGCCAGCACCAGTGGTGAAGGGGATCAAAGGTCTTAATCTTGACTTGCAGTTTGTCCTCCAGTTCAGCGGGATCGTTCCAACAAGCTGACGGATGCGCTCGATAGCGCCCTCTGCGTGGTTGCTCTGGTGCTCCCCTGCCGGAGTTTGTTCAATGTGCGTTTCCACGCCAATCCGATGCCTCAGGGCTTGGATGGCATTGGCTAGGGCAGTGCAAGAAGGCTCAGGGTCGGCTCGCAAGGTAACCCGTCGGTGACCCAAGTAGGACAGGAGCTTTGTTACCTCAACGGCCATAAAGTTCCGTGACGCTGTGCCGCCCTTGCTCTGAACCGGCCACGCTTGCACCCACTTAGTTTCTGAATCATAGGCAACCAAACAGCACAATTTCTCATCTTTGTCGCTTCTGCTGGTAAACGAGAAATCGAAGCAGAAGACGGAGCTGGCCCGCCTGTCATCAGCACGCAACCCGTGTCTGTCAGAGCGTGCCCTAAAAGACACACAATGCTCACACCACTCGCGGTACGGGGTGTGTGTTAGGCAGTGTCGGCGACGTTCTTCGTCGCTCGGTGCAGCGACGGGGCGTTGCTCGACTGGAACACGTTCCTCAGAATCTGCTAAATGCTGTCTTGCCTGGTGAGCAGCTATAAGACTTTGGCGAGTCAAGTGGGCCTTGATTCACTTGAGCACGGTGGTTTTCCCGCCACTGCGGCCGAGGCCTAGTGACTGAGCTGCCTGTCTGAGGACTGCAAGGGTGGAGTTCATACTGAGGGTCGTTCCATCGACCACAAGGCTTCCATCATCATCAACAGGTGCCTCATCATGCAGCGCTCCATCAACCTCCAGTTCAGCTTGCTGATCTGGTGCTGCTGCACCGTGTTGTTGCTGCTCTGACTCCAACATGTCAGCATCTTCTGCCGGAGGGGTAGGAAGCGAACCAGGACTGGGAGGCTCACCTCCACCATCACCAATCATCACACCAAGCTCCTCAGGAGGCACAACTCTGCGGGTCGCAAACACAATCATCTCGCGGCTTCCACCGCCAGGCAGTAAGGCACTCAGCTCATCTACATTAACGATGCTCTCACACCACTCAAGAATTTCCCATTCATCTGAGTCTGGTGCTTTGACAATTGTTGTCCTGAAGCTGCAACCTTCTTGAGGCAAAGCCATCGTAATGTCAACAGAGCGGTTACCGTATCCACGCATGCCAAACACGTCTACGCTGATCTGCACAAAGTAATCAGGCAGCGACAAGGTTCCGACGGTGCAAGTCAAGGCCCTCACGGTGGCAGGGTCCTGTCGAATCACACGCACATAGAGCTTTGCTGCAAGGCTGTTTTGCTTCAGACACAGAGGAATGTTGATATCCCCACTCGGGCTGCGAAGGCTCATGTTGCCATTCTCATTTTGCAAACTGAAACCTGCTCTATACAGCTTACCCACGGCAAGTAGGGGTGTGGTGATGTGAGGGGCAACCAGAAAGGTCTCGGTGAAGGAAGGCTGATTGCCGAAGTTGAGCTCGGCTCGTCTAGTTCCATGAACCATCAAGGGGTTCCCTTGTGCATCCTGGAAGAACTCTACAGGGCTTCCAGAGCAAACCCCTGCCGTACTGAGACTTTGTGGTAAGCAAGAAGCGTCGGCACCTGAGCCAACAATGACTTCTATCTCAATGCCTTCATGGGCATCATGCGCACTCCGGATCATACGCACACTGCCAGCACTGCTAACAGCAGGCTCGGCGACACACTGCTGACACATGCCCTTAGCATGCTCAGCCTCACTGACACACTGCTGACACATGCCCTCAGCATGCTCAGTCTCATCACTTGCGTCACTCGGCGATGCATTGTGGGAAACACACCACCTCGACTGCAAAGTCCTTGCACAAACGCTTAATGCCTTGCAAACGGAACTAACAGCCCCATCTGACCTCACCTCATCACCTTCATCACCAGAGTTGCAATGCTCACAAACATCACACTTCGACACCACACGAATCTCACCGAAGGGTGCCTCATCATAGTCATCGAGGTTGTATGCAACACGCCTGACCTGGGCCTTAGCAGCGGGCTGAGGCTTTGCAGCAGGCTTTGGCTTAGGCACGGCGTCAGTGGATGCTGACGCACCTCCATCAGTGGCTTCCTCGACCTGTCGAACGCGGCTCTGACGACAGTCCCGGGCAAAGTGGCCTTTGCGGCCACAGTTGTGGCAAGTCTTGTTAGCAGCAGGATTATGGTTCGGGCTGTAGGGCTTTGAAATATCCCCCTTTTTACCCTTGGTGTCACCTTTTCCCTTTTTGCCTTTATCAAACTTGCCTTTGGGCTTGCCCTTGCCGTCTTTACCACCTTTTGGCTTTCCCTTGGCCAGCCTGTCGATCTCCATAGGAACAGCTTCGGATGAAGCCGGGGCTGCGTTGATCAGCACACCTCCTTTGCCTTCTGTCAAGCCGTAAGCCGCTGCAACTGACGCTCCCCATTTCGACGAAGAGGCGTCGTAGCGGGCAACCAGGCTGCGAAGCTCAGCATAGCTCCAAGAATCTTCCATGGTGAGATTCACGTGTTGACGGAGTTGCCCCGTCAAACATCGCAGAAGCGACACGACCCTTTGATCATCTGACATGGCTTGTGATGCAATCGAGTCGTACTCAGCCATCGCCTGCTCCAGCCTAACAACCTGAGCTAGGAGTCCTTGCTTGCTGTCGAAGACCGGCCAGTTATGGATGGTCTGCATGAGCGCTAACGCTCGGGTCCTGCTAGACGGACGAAGTTCCAAAAGAGATGAGGCGATAAGCCTCGTAGCCGTTGTTGTCAGCCACGGTCTTTAGCAGCCGCTTCAAGCGATCGTTGAGCAGCGAGGCTAACAGGCCATACATGATGCGCGACCTGTCCTTCTCGGCTTCTGTCAAAACCGAAAAGTCAACAACAGTTTTGGCATTATCATTATCCTTCAGGCGCTTGAAGTCAACCTGGAACGACTTGTCTAGGGTACCCAAATACTGTTCAAACTCCCATGCCCAGGCTGGCCACTTCACCAGCTCTTCGTCTCGCGTCTGACACGAGAAGGAAGTGGGATGCTTCAACACTTTGCTGAGGTCCTTAATTCGCTGCAAGACCTGAGGAAGACGAGGATTCACGGCCTTCCTGCTGGCTACGAAGAATTTCTGTCAACACTTGCTGATTCTGCTGCATACCTGTCAGGATCTCAAGAAGACGCGCCTCACCTGCAGCAACTGACCCTGTAGGACTGTTCGCTGGGCTCATGGGTGGAGGCACGGCTCCCTGATGGGCTGATGGAGTGTCGGTCATCACTCCCAATCGACCTCTGACCTGATGCTCTCGTCGCTGTCACTAAATAAATCTACCACCACTCCAGAAGGACCAAGATTTCTGCTGAAACTGGATGACTCAGCTCCACAATCTAACTGAAAATCCACTCCAGAAGGACCAAGATTTCAGTTGAAACTGGATGACTCAGCTTCACCTGACCTCTCACGCAAAATGCGCTGAGGCTCCACAGTCAAGATGCAAAAGGCAGCTGACACGAATGCTTCAAGCAAATCTTTGTCAACACTCAACAGTTTGCAGCCGTAAGCAAAGATCTCAACGGCAGTGCTGATCTCCTTCAGCTCAGCTTGCTTCTTCTTTCTCGTGAGAATCTGACGTCTCTCGAAGCTCAAGAGGGACGGCTTGCCAACCTGATACTCTATATACCACTCAATCACAGCTTTGCGAAGCTTGTCAAGAACCCTGGGCTCGTCCCACAACTCAACACACTGAGCTTGGGTTGCAAGATGGGATGGCGCCTCCGTACCTCTGACGCACACCGCTCAAGCGGAAGCACAGGACGCTATGGCTCCTTCTGGTGGCTCTATTGGCCAACCAGGGACTGCAGCCTACGGGCTCTTTCCAACTCACCCCAAGCAACACAAAGCACAGAGAAACGATTCCCACTCTGGCTCCCGGAACGCAAACCCGAAAGCCTACACGTGTGACGAAGCCTCGGGCTTTCCCGTGGCTCCGCTACCATGAAAACTTTTCTCACTGTTGAGCACAGCTGCAGTCGTACATGGCATGAGACATGACTGTTGAGCTACTGGGCAAAAACGAGCATCCCACATGTAAAACAAATGACGTGTGAAAACACATGTCAAACGGCATGCTTCGGGGGACCAAAATCGT